AATAACGACGTCTTGGACCCCTTCTCAATAGATGATAATGACTATGCCTTGAGGGATTCTTTGCAGATGAATATGAAAGATGAGACATGCAAATACCTTGATATGGAATGAACCTCAGGTAGAATGCTGAAAAGCTCAAGTATAAAAATGTATAAACCCTGATTTTTAGCTCCGTCTCATAAAACCTTGCAACTTGACATTGAGAAGAAAAGAATAGCCCCGTAGCTTGATGATGATAAGGTCCCTGAAATAAAACCCTAGCTTCACATAAATGGTTGATGGAGAGATCACTTGAAACAAGCTTGTGCAAATATGAGAGCCTTGAAGCATACAACAATGTAATTCCTCGAAATCCCTGATCCCATGCCAAATTACTGACTAATGATGCATGATGTGTTAGATGACCTAATGTGAGAAAAAAATGCAAAAATGCGTAAGCCAGATAGGAAGTAAAAGGGTAGGACAAATTTGGGGTATTACACCACCCCCTCTATATGAAGAACACACACAACACACGAAAAATCATACAAAGGACGAAAATATACAGAAAAAATAGAGAACAGAAGCATTGGAGAGATGTTGCCCAGAATTTTCCAAGCAAAGCCACCCTTCAACAAAAGCATCCACGCCCATAAGCTCCAAATCAAAAGTGCCTACATCCAGGAAGTGCCCAGATCGAAGGTGCCTACATCCAGGAAGCGCCCAAATTAAAAGTCCAATCTGCTGGTAAGAAAGGGTAAACTATCCAACCTCATATTTGCATAACATATTATTACTGGTTGTTGCCTTTGATTTTCCATCCTAGACAGGATCGAAAGGCCTGGGTTTGGCGCCCAAGTCATGTTCTTCATTTGCCAACACTTGCTGCAGACATAGCCTGAAGAGACCCATCAAGCACAGGATCGAAGGGCCTGGGGTTCAATACCCAGGCCCTGCATTTTATTTTGCTAACCTGCTTTTGCAGGTATAACATCCCAGATCAAAGGAGAGCCCTTCTCTGGATCGAACCCATTAGCATGCTGGATCGAAGGAGGCATCTCATTCCTGGATCGAAAGCCATGACCTCCATGATCGAAGGGCAATCCTCTTCCCTGGATCGAAGGCTACTCACGCCTTACTGTCTGACCCAATCGAAAGGACCATTTCCCTCCCTGGGTAGAAACTCCTTTTTTCCCTGGATCGAAGGATCCCCCCCTTTGTATTTTATTTTTGTTTTCATTGACATCTTTTTATCTTTTTTAATTAACATTAAAATCAAAAAACCACAAAAAAACATTAGGCTAGTTTTTTTCTATTAAAATTAACTTTGTTAATTAATCTCTTAATTATCTTAATATTTTCTCAAAAAAACTAAAATTAAATAGATTTAGATCATTTTCCCAAAATAAAATAAAACAACAAAAAGATTTTATTCTTAGGATTTTTAGAGTTTATTTTCAGATTTGCGCGCGTTTATTTTATTGTAACTGCCTACTGGGATGTAATAGTTTAGCTTAGACTTTTACTTTACTGCTTTATTCCCCCCAATTTTAGACATGTAAATAATCTCCCTCCCCGAAGCCTTGTAATAGCGTAGGATTTACAATTCCCGCACTTTAAATTCCTGTACCTATATTAACTGCTTAGATGTATGCTAACTAGGATTGCATGACAAGATTAACTCTTAACTTAAAAACAACAGTAGCTCACCATAACATGTACAAAGATAATATAAACTGAAAATTGACACACTTGCACATGCCACTCCTAGGGTACACCTCACTTGGTTGCCTCAAATGTGGTCATTGAGTATAGGATATTTTAGAGGTCACCCTCCTGTCCAAAGATCAAAGTTGCCTCGAAATGGTTGCCTCGAAAAAATGATCTAAGACATTAGGGTTACCGCTAAAGCATCCTAACATTGCTTTAGTGACCACATGTCCCTTTAATCGAATTGATCTGAAAAATCCAACGACGGTGCTACCTACTCCTTAATAGTGGGATAGAACTGTCTAAAGGACATTTGCACAATTTAATTCCTTTTTGAGTAGGTAGAGGTTCTTAAGTACTTGCTCCTTTTTAAAACAAAACAAAAAACTTTTCGCACTTACACTTTCTTCAAAAAAAGAAAAACAAAACTCTTTTCAAAACCCACAAACACAAAGAAAAGCAAACCTTTTGAAAACATAGTGAGCAAGTACCTAAGAGCCTGTGGATAACCACGGATAGAAAGGGTGCTAACACCTTCCCTTTCTATAATCTACCTCCCGAACCCGAGAAAAATCTCGAAAAGGAATTTTTCTGTGCTTTTGTCCTTTCCTCGTTGGATAAAATAAAAGACGGTGACGACTCTTGCTTACCGCGACACTTTGCGAAAACAAACGCAAAACGCGAACCAGCATTCTAAAACAGTCAGTTCTCATTCCCACCGATCACACACAGGTTTCAGCAACAAACTTACGTCTGTAGGTAAAAGTTCAGAGCCAAAAACGACAATTCCAGGGAAGAAGACAACAACATGTCACAACTTGATTGGATGGTTTAAATTCAGGCGCGTCATTCTGGCCACTAACTTGTTTTCCAATATATTATTTGTGTTTTTAAATTATATTAATAAGTTAACATCCAGCGCAGTTGGTCAGAAGAAGGAAGTCAGAAGCTCATTGTTTTGGGTTCGATCCCAGGCGTGAGCTTTTGGAATTTTCTCCATTGTTTTCACCAGATCCTGCGCACCCCACCTTCTGAGGGTCATCATCTTCTGGATCCATCAGCCATAACCAGATCCGGCGCATCCCACCTTCTGAGAGTCATCATCTTCTGGATCCATCAGCCAGAACCAGATCCAGTGCACCCCACCTTCTGATGGCCATCATCTTCTGGATCCATCAGCCATAACCAGATCCAGTGCATCTCACCTTCTGAGGATCATCATCTTCTGGATCCACCTCCATCCAGATCTGCTGACAGCAGGCCCATTTGGTTATTTCCACTATTTTTCTTTAATTTCTTTTCTTTAACTATTTTGTTTTTTTAATCAACACAAAAATTATTTTATTAAATTAACCAATCAAAAATCACAAAAAAGGTTTATTTTCTTAATAAATGTTTTTTTAATTAATTAGTATGATTAATTTAGGGCAACTTTAATTTCTTTCACAATTAAAATTCAATTAGAAAATTAGGTTAATTCTTGATTTAATTTTTTCTTTCTTTCTTAAATAAAATAAAAATACAAAAATAGGTTTTAGAATGAATTAATTTATTTTTCTTAATTTAAAATTAATTAGAACTTAGGATTTTCTTTTTAATTCAATTATTTCATTATTTTCTCAAATAACAACATGAAATTTTTTTTTTTCATGAATCAATCGCAAGTAGGATTAGTCAAAGGGTCAAAACCCTAATCGTCTCGCATTTAAGTCGCCACGCGCTTGTTATTTATTTTGACAATATTTTGTAACTGTTCATGGTTTGTAATAGTTTAATTTAGGATTTTATTTACTGCTTAAATCTCCAGATTTTTGGCTATGTAATTAATCCCCCTCCCCGAAGCCTTGTAATAGCGTAGATTTATTTTCTCGCATTTTTAATTCCCGCAAATATTTAACTGTTTAGATGTATGCTAATAGGATTGTATGACAAGAATGCATGACAAATTAATACGGTTAGAAAACCCTAATGTGCAAAGATAAATAACTGAAACAAATCACTCGCACATATCACTCTTAGGGCATACTCTCACTTCGGTTGCCTTCGATAAACGATCATTAAGCATAGGTGTCTTAGTGGTTGCCCTCCAGTCTAAAAGATCAAATTGTCCCATTCAAATGTTGCCTCGAAAATGTTGCCTCAGAAATATTGCCTCGAAAGATCTTAAGACTCTAGGGTTATTACTAAGGTGTCCTAATATTGCTTTAGTGATCGTACGTCCCTTTCGAATTGACCCTTACAAACTCCAACGACGGTGCTACCTATTTCTCAATAGTAGGATAACGCTGTCTAAAGGAAACAAGAATAAAAACGATCTTTTTTCGAGTAGGTAGATGCTAGTAGGTACTTGCTCAAATCAAAAATTTTCATACTTACACTTTCCAAACAAATTTTCAAAACAACTTCGTCACACATTTGAGGACTGATACAAAGGTTATCACGAAGTAAAACATTTTCAAAAAAACAAAGCACACACACAAGCAATTTAAAAAGATGAGCAAGTACCTAAGAGCCCATGGAAAATCATGGATAGAAAGGGTGCTAACATCTTCCCTTTCTATAATCTACCCCCGTACTCAAAATCTCGAAAAAGAATTTTTCCTGTACTTTTTTCCTTTCCGATTGGATAAAATAAAAGTCGGTGACGACTCTTGCTTACCGCGACATTTTGCGAACAAAAAACACAAAAACGCAAACCAGTATTCACAGTCGATTATGTCACCGTATCACACATTAGAAAATAAAATAATAAATAAAATTGATTTTAATAATTTAATAAATAATTTTGTATTTCAAAAATAAAAAATTCACTTTTAAAAAATATTACTTTTATATTAATTATTATTAAAAATAATTTTTTCAAAATTTTATTATAAAATTCATCTTAAACCTCAATATCTGTTAGACCGATCCTATTTATATTATATAGAAAAAGATAACATTGATATTAATATATGCTTTGAATATGAAAATCGATAGTGGACAATTTTAAAAATGCGTTCGTATAAATATTTTGTAATTAATTACCGATAAAATTACGGAAAAGGCCACGCGCTTTTATGTTTTTGACTGCGCGGAGAAAAGAAAAAGTTTTCTATTTTTCCTTCTGAATTTCCGCGAGAAACCAGAACGAAACATTTATCAGAATTAACAAAATCACAACCAAACAACACCATCAGATCCACAATTTCCCTTGATCGCATTTCTTCAATCCCTTGGTCACTCTGATTCTCAACAAAATTCTCAATTATCAGATTCTAATATGTGAATTCGAATGTGTTTTGGTTATTGATTGTTTGGAACAGATCATGATGGAAAGGGAAAACTGGAACGAGAATAACGACAATGGTTGTTATCAGAATCAATTGTTGTGTGATAATGATCGGGATTCAGTTATGATGAATTCTTCCATGTCTTCGTCTCCTCCGAAGCTTGGATATATTGAACATCATGTGTCCAAATTCGATACGTTGGTTGGGATTGCAATCAAATACGGTGTTGAGGTATTTTTATTGTGTTGTAAAGTTTTTAATTTTACTCAAAGTTTGTTATCGGGTTTTGTTTTTGTTTTTTGGGTCATCCGTTTTCTTATTATTTCGGAATTTGATGAGGAAAGTATGAGATGATGATGTATGAGTTAAGTTTCTGCAATTTTTGTTCTTGTTGTCATGCTGGGTGCTGCATGTGGGTGGGTGCTGATTTTTCTGATATGATGATGTTCTTTTTGGTGTAATCATGATTCATGCATGTAGGGACAGAATTAATTGACAAAAAAAATTGCAAGAAAGTGAAATGCGTATGTTCATAGGATTGATTCTGCGGTGGAAAAAAAATTGATTTTGAGTGAATTGATTATGAAAATTTTTATTCGGGTTAAAAGTGACTTGAAAGTAAAAGTGGTATATGTTTGGATAAGTTTGTTGAATAGTAAAAGCTACTAATTCTTGCTTGTAGTAGAATCAAACATCTCAAAATCATGCAAGTTGATTGTGATTTTGAGAAATTATGGTAGATCTAAACATCTACTAATACAAGTGAAGTCTTTTTGTTTTAAAATGGTTTTGATGATTTTGTTACATCTGTCATTATTTCCAAGATGTGGTTTTTGTTTTTGAGTTTTGTAGAAGTGTTTAATCCAATATGTTGTTATCATTGTTTTTTTTTTCCGGTTACCGGTCTCCTCCACCACTTTTGAAATGAGGAAAACTTTGTACTGAATTCTTATTCTTATTTTTCTAAATGAGTTGTGTGATGAAGTGTGATTTCTTCAGCTCTTTATGTTTTTTTGGGGAAATTGTAGGTTACAGATATTAAAAGAATGAATAGCCTTGTTACAGACCATCAGATATTTGCGCTTAAAACAGTTCAAATTCCATTACCCGGAAGGCACCCTCCGTCTCCTTGTTTATCAAATGATTCCAGTACTCCTGGGTATGTTCATTTCTTGATATAGCCATTATGGAAAAGCACTCTATGAATTTAGACCATGTCCTTTTTATTTTGGAAAAATGCATATTAGATGAAATAGAGGGATGAGGAGAGGGGGGGTTACGATATTTTGTTTTTCATTGATAGTTTGAAACTTTGAGTCTTGAGCATGAGCATGATTTACCCTACAGCATCTAGGAAATTTTGTTTTTCATCGCTAATTTCTTTATTTTGCTTTGGTTATGTGAGTGTATTCGTCACTCTTGTACAGAAACACGAATATAAACTTGAAGGCGGAAACATAAAATGTATCTAGAACTGGAGTGAAATTCTAGGCTGTAATCTTTCCAAACTTCTTTTTGGGCTTTTTTTATAAGTATGATATGATACAATCTGTCATTTGTCTTAAATTTCTTACCATATGAATAGTTATAGATGGAAATTTGAGAAGAAATGTAATACAAGAAAATAGATTCATAATGTTTCTTGTATATGTTGGTTACAATACATGATTTCTTTTTAATATGACATGATTGATTTATTTCTCATTGGCATTTAAATCACTGATGACCATGAATGTTATTCCACCTGACATGGCAACTCTTCTAACAGCCCACCAATTAATGCGCAACGTGAACTGCTTGAATCATTCCAGTCTGTAAGATTTAAGTGTCCTGACCGGAAGGTCTCTCCAGCAATGAGCTCATTACAGGGTTATTATGGACTTCAAGTTCTCCCTAACTCCTCAGAAAACGGTTCATCATCCAAGAACACGCCTATGTCAGACCGACCCCTTAGTCGTCACCGAAAATCCAAAAGCTTAGTCAATGTCATTTTGGAAGAGATTATGGAAAAGGATGGTACAGCACCAGCTGGAGAAACCTGGGAACTTAACTCTGATAAATGGAATGACAAATTTGCACAGAGACGTCAGAAATCTGTAGCTGACTTTACCAGGATACCGGAGTTGATTCTGAGGGAGGATGTTGGCAGCAGTGGCGGTCTTCCTTCAAGAACAGGAAAGGGTTTAGCTCTGAGACAGAAAGCAGCCAGCCGAACTGCAGTGACGAATGATTCTGAATCAAATGGTTTTACACCTGTGCCAATGGTTACGGGGGATGGTTTACAAACTGATAGTTCATCTGGGGTGAGGAAATCGTCCAGTACATCTTGTTTGCAAGAGCAGGAAAACAGCTGCTCCTCATCCATTTGGCCATCCTCAATGTGGAATTTGAAACCAGATTTACAGGCCCTTTCGACTGCAGCTATTGGAAAACCGATCTTCGATGGCTTGCCAAAGCCATTAACCGGGCGAAGGAATAAAGCTGCACTTGATTAATATATCATAACTTATCACAACAGTTTTGATCCTTTGTGAGTAATGGAATCATAGCTGCCACACTAATGGGTAGGTTGGAGAAGCAAAACAATGTAGCAGGGTCTTGAACATTATCATTCAACATTTTTTTGTATGGACATAGTGAAACTTTTAGGAAACAGATTATCTGTGGTTAGGAATCATTGATAAAGATTGGACGGTTAAAGTTTTGAGTTCTTCTTGTAAGTCATCTGATCTCTATCTAACGATTTAGATTGATGTATTGATAACAGAAGGAAATTTGTACCTTTGGGAGTTTGAATTCATTCTTTTAGCACCTTAGACTTTGTGGTGACAAGTAAATGTACTGGTTTTACACGTGTTGATATGTGTAGCACTATTACTTTGCATCTGATTTCTCAAATCTTATTGTGTGTGATATTTAATATCTCATGCATTGCATGGTTACTGGTTTCTTGGGATCATTTTGCTTGGTTAATCCCTTCCCCATCTCCTAAACATGACATATTTCTTCTTCACAAACTTTCCTGAAGATATTTCTATCAAACAGTTGTGTCCATGAGGTTTTTATTTCTCGAAAAATAAATAAGAATGGAAGTAGGTTTGGTTTTGTCAAGTTTGTTGAAGCGAAGAATGTTAAGAAAATACAAAATCATCTCAATGGTATGTGGTTTGGTAGCTTCAAGTTGAGAAGCCATTTGGCTTTTGTTTGCTAGGAATGTCCATTTTAATCCTAGCTTTAGACAAGCAGGCGAGAATGAAGGTTGATGATGAATTTTTTTTTTACGCGATGAAGCTCTTATTAATGGAGACTTGGAGCGTTGTTCAGAGAAAGAAGAAGATGGGTTGGATTGCGTACATTTAGATAATCAAGGCATGAGGGACACGTATCCCTTTGCAGGTGGGTGGGAGAACTTAGGTAATCAAAATGAGAAGGATGGGAATAGCCGCGTGTGAAAATATAAATTTTAAAACGTTCATTTCGAGCCGCTTTTCATAAAAGGTGTGAAAATATAAATTTTCAAACGTTGGTTTCGAGCAGGTTTTCATAAAAAAGGTGGCTCATGTAGGAGTGTTCAAAACTAAACCAATTCAATATAAAATCGTAAAGTTGAACTAAACCAAATCGAAATTGTAAAAAATTATATTTGATTCGGATGTATTTAGACTATTTTTTAACAAAATCACACAGTTCAGTTCGGTTTACGATTACAAACTGAATCAAACCGTATTATGTTACAACTCAAACTTTAATTAACCCACATCCAACTCATACTCAAATCTTTTGTCTTTGCCTTAACTTACGATTACAAATTATTTTCTCTTCCTCACACTTAAAGTTAATTTAAGTCTTCTCAAATTTCTCATAATGATATCACACCTTCTTCTAATCTTCTTTTTCAAATATATCTCGTCTCTTCTTCTCCGGTCTTTAATCTGTTATGTTCTTTCTTTTCCTCTTATTATTTTTATTCTAATGTTCTCTCTTCCAATTATGCTTTAAATGCACATTTTCTTCTCTAATCTCTCATCTCTTATGCTTTTTCTTTTTCATCTTCTCTAATCTTTCATCTCCTCTATTTTTTTCTATTTAATTATAATATTTTTGATATTATTTTATGCTACTATTTTATGTTTTTTATTCCATTTTTCTCTAATATTATTTTTGTATATTAAATGGAAAGTAGTGGTCCAAATATGATGAATATTGTTGTTATTTGATAATACTAAAATTATTAAATATAAAACTATATTGTCATCTATATGTGTGTTTGTATGACTCAATAATTTTTTTTTTAAAAACTGAACCAACCGAATCAATCTAAACCACATTGATTTGGTTTGGTTTGATTTCTAAAATCCAATCGAATCAAATCGAACTGCACATTTTTCTCTCTTACAGTTTAAATAATTTTTTACGTCAAAACTGCCAAACCGCACCACAAACACCCTTAAACTGATGCATATTGTATTTTGGAGAGTCTTTGGCTCTAACACCGAGTTAAATAATTTGCATTTTGCCACCCTCTAAAACACCGACGACTAAGTAGTTAACGAAATCAGTGTACCACAGTAATGTGGTGTTGGTACAAATGGCTTTTACTACCGCAGTTATTAAATGTTCATTGCGTTGATCTAAATTGTCGGTAAGAGCTATCTCTAGTTTAGCAATAAGGCGTTCATATGGGAAATCTTCATTTATGGGAACATTCTCGGTTTGGATTCCATCTAATTTTGATAAATGATCCGCTACCACGTTTTCAGTCCCTCTTTTGTCTTTTATTTCCAAGTCAAACTCTTGTAGGAGTAAGATCCATCTGAGTAGTCGTGGTTTGACGTCTTTCTTACTTAGTAAGTATCAGATCACAGCATGATCTGTGTAAATAATGATTTTGGCGCCCACTAAGTAGGAACGAAATTTGTCCAATGCGAATACAACAGCTAAGAGTTCCTTCTCCGTAGTGGCGTAATTCATTTGTGCGGGATCGAGTGTTCTGCTTGCATAGTAGATAGCGTGAAGCTTTTTATCCCTGTGTTATCCTAGGACTGCGCCTACAGCATAATCGCTCGCATCGCACATTATTTCAAATGGTAGGTTCCAATCAGGAGGTTGCATAATAGGTGTTGAAATTAAGGCTTCTTTAAGCGTCTCAAATGCGTTTAAGCATTTATCGTCGAAAATAAACTCGGCTTCTTTCATCAATAATTCAGTTAGTGGCTTAGTGATTTTAGAGAAATCTTTTATAAAACGTCGGTAAAAACCAGCGTGTCCTAGAAAACTTCTTATTTCTCTAACTGTTTTGGGTGGTTGAAGGTTTTTGATAACCTCGATTTTTGCTTTATCGACTTCAATCTCTCTGTTTGATACAATGTGACCCAACACAATTCCTTGTCTCACCATGAAGTGACATTTTTCCCAATTGAGCACTAGGTTGACATTGACACAGCGTTTCAGTACTAGTTCAAGATTCGATAAACATCCGTCAAAACTTTCTCCACAGACAGAAAAATCGTCCATGAATACTTCCATAATTCCGTCCAAAAAGTCTGTGAAAATCACCATCATGCATCGTTGGAAAGTTGCAGGTGCGTTACATAGTCCAAATGGAATTCTTCGGTATGCAAAGGTACCGTAGGGCATGTGAACGTGGTTTTCTCTTGATCATCAGGATGAATGGGAATTTGGAAGAATCCCGAGTATCCGTCAAGATAGCAGAAATGGGAATGTTTGGCTAAGCGCTCGAGCATTTGATCAATGAATGGTAATGGGAAATGGTCCTTGCGCGTATCCTTGTTTAGTTTTTTGTAATCGATACACATTCTTCATCCTGTTTGGGTACGTTGTGCCACCGATTCACCTTTTGTGTTTGTTATAACCGTAACACCTCCTTTCTTAGGTACTACGTGAACTGGACTGACCCAGTTGCTATCTGATATTGGGTATATGATGCCTGCCTCTAGTAGTTTCTGTACTTCTTTCTTAACGACTTCACTTAGGATAAGATTTATTCGTCTTTGATGTTCTCTAGAAGTCTTGCAGTCCTCCTCTAGCATAATGCGGTGCATACAGAGAGATGGGCTTATTCCTTTTAGATCTGATATATTATAGCCTAACGCGGTTGGATACTTCCTTAACACATTAAGAAGTTTTTCAGTTTCGATCTTTCCTAAATTGGCATTGACTATAACTGGCCGTTCGAGTTCTTTATCTAAAAATTCATACCTAAGATCTTCAGGTAACGTTTTAAGTTCTATACAAGTTTTCTTATCAGTTGGGGTAAGATCGGGTGTTAAGGCAAAACATTCGCTTAGGTTGGTATCTTGATATTCTTGTTTCCAGTCGTCATCCTTGAAGATAGTTGGTGTCGGAATTTTCAACATCCCAGAATAGGTGTCTTCTTGGCTTTCTAGTTCTTTGACACATTCATCAATAATATCTAGGAAACAGCATGAGTCATCTATAGCAGGGGCTTTGAAGAATTGGGAAAGAATGAATTCTACTTTTTCTTCTCCTACCTCAAAGGTAAGATTTCCTTTCTTAACGTCAATAATGGCTCCTGCAGTGGCTAAAAATGGTCTTCCTAATATGATGAGAATGTTTGAATCTTCCTTGATGTCCATTATTATAAAGTCAGTCGGTATGTAAAATTGTCCTATTCGGACAAGAATGTTTTCTAGCATACCAACAGGGAATTTGACTGATTTGTCGGCTAGTTGTAGGGACATCTTGGTAGGTCTCATGTCACCTAGTTTGAGCTTCTCACAAATAGATAAGGGCATTAGACTAACACTTGCTCCTAAATCGCATAGAGCTTTGTCTATGACAGATTTTCCAATTACACATGGTATGGAGAAACTACCAGAATCTTTTAGCTTTGGAGGCATGTTATTTTGAATTATGGCGCTACATTCGGCGATTAGCATAACGGTTTCGTTTTCAACAATTTTTTTCTTATTAGACAATATTTCTTTTAGGAATTTAGTATATGACGACATTTGGGTTATAGCTTCTGTAAACGGAATAATAACGTTTAATTGTTTCAGAGGTTCTACAAATTTCTTGAATCGCCCCTCGTTTTTGGATTTTGCAAGTCTTTGAGGGTATGGAATTGGTGGTTTATATGGCGGTGGGGGTACGTAAGGTTTTTCTGAAGCCTCTCTGTTCTCATTCTCATCTTCCTCTACACTCTCAGATTGTTCTTTCGATTTCTCTGCTTCCTTTTCAGGTTTCCGATACATGGTCAGGTTTTGGAGTCTAGGATCTACCGGTCCATCAAGTGCTGTCCCACTTTGTAATGTGATAGCATTAGCGTGTCCTTTAGGATTGGGTTGCGGCTATCCAGGAAACGTACCAGCAGGTGCGACAGAACTAGTTTGGTGTTGTGCTACTTGGGAGATTTGGGTTTCTAACATTTTATTGTGAGTTGCTAGGGCATCTACCTTATTTGCTAATAGCTTCAATTGTTCACCGGTGTGAACATTTTGATTGAGGAATTCTT